TTATTGACCCACCCGATCCATTTTTATTGACCCACCCTAAAAAAAAAATGTTGATCCGTGTAACGTAACACAACTATTGTAATGTAATATGATCGACAATATGATCAACATATTACAGCGTAACCCATGAATACGACTGGCATGACTTTAACGTTAAGATATAGCTTATTCACATGATACGCGAAGCTTCTTCTTCAAAGAAATTAATATAATAACTTTCCATTACAAAAGCATCACTTCTAATAAAAATTTGTGCACCCGTGCATTTTGTACGCAAAAAAATTAATAATTAAACTTTCGCTTGTCTAACAATTATATTTTTGTCGTGTAACCTTATAATAGTCTATGCAAAGTCTATAGTCGTAGAGTATACTTGAAGACTTTATATTGTTACATATATGTAAATAGTGTATAGCTTAATTAGAGTCTATTAGTGATATTAATAGAGGGATATAGAACTCTAGTTAGTGAGGAAGGAAGTTAGTTCTTTAGTTTTAGTCTTGAGTTGGAACAAGAGATATTTTAGGCCACATTTTAATAGAAATAAAATAACTAATAAAATTCCGTTATACTTATGCTGCCATTTCACAAGGTAATTTAGTGGAGGTTAAAAATCTGTTACAATCTGCAATATTCTATAATAATGTAATAATGCGATAATATGATTTAATTTATGATAAATAAATCGCATCAAAAAGTTTCTTCCTATCTCTCTTTTTGCCTGCACTATTCTTTTTTTGTGTTTTGTGAAGGCCCTAAATTGTTAATCAGATATTGCATAAGTTAGCTTTTAAACCATTAAACGAATATAAATTAACTTTATAAAAAATGAATTCTTCTATACATATCGATAATAATAATATTATTCGTTTGCCATTTGGATGAGCTATTGAGCAGTATCTTTATTCACTTCCTATTTCGCATTATACCAGGTACAAAGTTCAAAGCTGAAAGCGAGTAAACGATGCAGTAAATCAAGGGTTTATAACTGTTGAACATGTGGAGGGTTCTGTAGATTATCTTTGTTGGAAAACTGAAAAAGAACAAAATAAGTTAACGAATTATATTGATGATATTTTGCAACTTATTGAAAGTGGAAAACAACAAGTTTAACAAATACGTACTAGAGAAAAAATTGATCTTCAAGTTTGGCATTGGGTCTAGTTCTGTTCTGGTGAAGGTGGCTGTCAAAGACATTGTGGTAGAATAGGCAAATGTGTTGAAATATGTAATCATTATTCTAATGAACAAACCCTTAAAAATCCTCTAGATATGCATAAGTGTAGTGTAAGAATTATTACTAAGGTTATACTATCTGAAGTTGATACCGACTATCCAGTACATTTGATCATTGAGGGTAATCATGTTCCACAAAATGTTATTTAGGAAATTACTATACCATCTTGGATTAATTTGAGTTGAGAAGTGTGTAATCTTGTAATTACAAGTCATTGAGCTAACAAACATACGTCTAAAGAAATAAAAATGAGGTTACTTGCACTATATAATGGTACATCACAGCATGAACTTAAAAACCTATATAATAGCCAGAACTCTATATGTGATGATATAAAACTTCATCAATTTATTGAGAGAGATAATTCATATGCATAAGTTAAGTAGGACTATGGACAACAGTATATGAATTAGTAACTGGTATGCTAAAACAAAAAGGAGCTGTATTATATTATCAGCAGGCAGATCTTAATACATCTGAAGATAGTTCAAATCATTATTATCAACTTATTTTGAGCAATGATGTATAGCTTGAACAAGCACGTGACTTTGGTTTCTTTTGTTTTGGTATAGATGGCTAGTATAATTTAAATAGTAATAAAGCTCTGGTTTTGTCTCTTGTTGTAGAAGATAATGCAGGTTATAGAACACCAATTGCATTTGA